CCTGCTGCCCCTTCCTGGCCCTGCTGCCCCTTCCTGGCCCTGCTGCCTCTCCTGGTGGGTGTTGCTTGGCCCTTTCCCACCACCTTCTCCCCAGCTTTGGAAATGGACAGGTTGCTTCCAGGGAAAATGGGGTTTGTGGGCGAGGAGAGGAGCAGAGAGGAGCAACCTCTGGGTGCAGTGACGGGGCAGGATCAGGGCCAGGGGCTGGGAGGGGACACAGAGCTGCTGCCTGGGCAGGGGCTTCCTTTTACCAGCCAGACCAAACTTGGGACCTGCTGGAGAGAGTCCAGAGGAGGCCCCGCAGATGCTGCCAGGGCTGGAGCCCCTCTGCTCTGGAGCCAGGCTGGGAGAGCTGGGGGTGCTCAGCTGGAGAAGGGAAGGATCCAGGGAGACCTTGGAGCCCCTTGCAGAGCCTAAAGGGGCTCCAGGAGAGCTGGAAAGGGACTGGGGACAAGGCATGGAGGGACAGGACACAGGGAATGGCTTCCCACTGCCAGAGGGCAGGGAGAGATGGGAGATTGGGAATTTCCTTGGGATCCTTATCAAAGTGTTTCTTGGGGAAGAGGACTTTATCCAGGGAGATCTGTGTCAGAAGGGCTGTGGGAGCAGAGGGCAGCTCGTGCTGCTCTCCAGAGCCAGAGGATGTCCAGGTTTAACTCCCTGACTGGAGTTGTCTCACGTCTTGTCTCAGCCTTTGATTTGCATTTCTATTTTTATTTCCCCCCTCCACAAACACGCCCCGAGCACCTGAAATGTTGCAGAAGGGGTGGGATGAGGGGCAGGAGCTCTCCTTCCTCGTTTTTCCCCACCCAGGCAGGGCAGAGCAGTTGGAAGCAGGTGCCTGGTGAAGGATCAGCATCTTCTCCTTCCCTCGTGTCCGGCTCAGAGAGCTGGAATTGACACTTCCAAAGGGTGGAGGGTCGATGGGTGAACACCAGGAGTGCCCTGGGTGCTCCATGCAGGGTCTTGGGGGGCTTTTTGGGATGTTCACACTGTTTTTGGGGAGACCCCACACTTGACCCAAGTGCTGTTGCAGTGCCGAGACTCAGGTGGTTTTTGTCCTCGTGGAAGGCTCAGTATCCCTGGAACAGCAGTGACAGGACAAGGAGTAATGGATACAGATTGCAAGAGGGGAAATTTAGGATGGATACTGGGAAGAAATTCTGTGCTGTGAGGGTGGTGAGGCACTGGAACAAGATTGTGGATGCCCCAAGTCTGGAAGTGTTCCGGGCCAGGTTGGATAAGTGGGATAGTGGGAGTTGTCCCCGCCCATGGTGGAGGGGTTGGGACCAGATGATCCTTAAGGTCCCTTCCAACCCCTGTGATTCCGGATCTCTGGCTTTTCCCGAGTGTTTCTGAGCCCTGACCCCGTGGCTTTGTTTCCTCTGTGGTTCCCAGTACAGCGCCGTGGACAGCAACCCCCTGTCCCTGTACGTGATGCATCCCTTCTGGAACACCATCGTCAAGGTGAGCCCCGCCAGCCGCCTCTGGGACACCCTCAGCTGCCTCCTTTGGGGTGCCCCGAACCCCCAGGGGCTGCCTACAGCCTGCCCCCAGTCCCTGCATCCCATCCTGCTGCTTGGGATGCTTGGGATGCTCGGGACGGCGTCCCCGCAGCACGTGCTCCCACGCCCGTGGTTCACAAGGAGTTCCTCTGTTCTTTTGCTGCTTCCCCACAGATCTTCCCCACCTGGCTGGCCCCAAACTTGATCACCTTCTCTGGCTTCCTGCTCCTTGTCTTCAACTTCTTCCTCATGGCGTACTTCGACCCGGACTTCTACGCCTCCGGTAAGGCCGCGCGTTCCCGGGGGGATGCGGATCTGCCACTGGCTGTGCTGGGAATTCCAGAGTGTGTGGGGGAGGCCCCTGGGTCTGGGCCTTCCCAAGTGATGGGACAGAGCAGGGGGTTGAACCCACTGGGGCTTCCTGACCAGGACTTGTCTGGGTACAACACCTTCGCTCCGGCTGCCAGGGGAATGTGCGCCTGGCATCGGGCAGGAGAGGGAGGAGCAAACACCTGGAATCTTGGGCAGGAATTGGCTCTTCCTACAGAGGGAGGAGCACACAGCTGGAATCCTGGGCAGGAATTGGCTCTTCCTGCAGAGCAGACAACAACCCAGTGCCCTTGTTTTAAAATCACAGGGTGACGTGGGAAGCGCTGCTTCCCTGGAATCGGCGGCCTCGTTCCTCACATCCCTGCTCCTGCCCTCTTGCACAACACTCCACCCCTGCGGACTAACCAGGCCAAATCCTCCTCCTCAGCCTCACTGCTCACAGCTTTGAGCTTTCCAACAGTGCCTGTGATTCCAAAGGCTCGGTTGTCCCTTCCCTCGTGGCAGAGTCCCAGGGAAGGGGTTACAGCGGGATAACTCTCCGTGGATCCCTCTCCGTGTTTTCTCTCCCTTTGCCCCTGCCAGGGTTGGGTTGGGTTGCTCTGGAGAGTTCATTCTTGTTCTTCTAAAACTGGGCCCGTCATCAAAGCACAGTGAAGTGGGAAAATCCTGGTTTCTTGGGATTGCCTTTGCTGGTGGGTGGGCGAGTCCAGGCTGTCGAGAGCTCAGGTGGCATCAGGGGCTGTTTGCCAAGATTTGGGTCGCATTTGGTCCTTGGGCCATGGAGGAAAAGCTGACAGTAGGTCAAGGGGAGAATCCCCAGGACATCAGACATCCAGAATCATGGAATTATAGAATGGTTTGGCTTGGAAGACCCTCCAGTCCCACCCCCTGCTGTGGGCAGGGACACCTCCCACTAGCCCAAGTTGCTCCAAGCCCCATCCAACCTGGCCTTGGACACTCCCAGGGATCCAGGGGCAGCCACAGCTTCTCTGGGCAACCTGGGCCAGGGCCTCCCCACCCTCCCAGGGAAGAATTCCTTCCCAATCTCCCATCTCTCCCTGCCCTCTGGCAGCGGGAAGCCAATTCCCCTGTGCTTTGTCCCTCCATCCCTTGTCCCAAGTCCCTCTCCAGCTCTCCTGGAGCCCCTTTAGGCTCTGGAAGGATCTCTCAGGTCTCCCTGGATCCTTCCCTTCTCCAGGTGACCCCCCCCCAGCTCTCCCAGCCTGGCTCGTCACATCCCAAAAAGTTCACATCCCGGTTTCACTGAGTTGTGCAGGTGCTTTGCTTGGTCCTGGGGCCTCTTGGGCCAAAACAAACCCCCCTGGGAGCTCATCCTGGGCTGTCCTGACTGGGCTCTGTCTGATCCCTGCAGCTCCTGACCACCAGCACGTTCCCAACGGAGTGTGGATCGTTGTGGGGCTCCTCAACTTCATGGCCTACACGTTAGGTAAGAGTGTTCCTGCTGGGCTCTGCTCGCCTGGTCATGCTGTGGCTGCATGTCCCCCCAGCCTCTGAGCCCCCTGGGAAATGTTGGATTCTGTCTCCCGCCAGGCACTGATCCAGCTGCTCCTGGGTCTGCTGGAGCAGCTTCTGGGAGCTGCTTTGCAAAGTGGAGAGAAGGAAGTTGTCCCAGAGCAGCAGATGAGGAAAGGAGGAAACTGGAACCGAGACAAATTTGAGATAAATTGTGAAATCCTGTCTTGGGTCTGCTTTAAATAGTCAGGAGTCACAGAATGGTTTGGGTTGGGAGGGACCTTAAAGTTCATTGAGTGCCACCCCCTGCCATGGGCAGGGACACCTTCCACCAGCCCAGGTTGCCCCAAGCCCCATCCAGCCTGGCCTGGGACACTTCCAGGGATCCAGGGGCAGCCACAGCTTCTCTGGGAATTCCAGCCCAGCTCCTCCCTCCCTCCCAACCAGGAATGCCTTCCTAATATCCCATCCTCTGGCAGTGGGAAGCCATTCCCTGTGTCCTGTCCCTCCAGCCTTTGTCCCCAGTCCCTCTCCAGCTCTCCTGGAGCCCCTTTAGACTCTGGAAGGGGCTACTTTAAGGAGTATGGAGGAAATATAAGGCACTAAATATATAACCTTGTCAGCCTGTTGCGTTTCCAGCCTCCCATGGATCAGGGGTGGGTGGGAATCCCACTCCCCACTCCCACCAGAGGGTGGAGGTGGTGGCAGCCGCTGTCCCCTGTGCTTTGTGTGTGGGCTGTCCAGGAGAACTGCCCCTTCCTCCTCCTCCTCCTCCTCCCAGATGGAGTTGACGGGAAGCAGGCGCGCCGGACCAACTCCAGCACCCCCCTGGGGGAGCTCTTTGACCACGGGCTGGACAGCTGGGCCTGCGTCTACTTCGTGGTGACCGTCTACTCCACCTTCGGCCGCGGCTCCACCGGCGTCAGCGTCTTCGTCCTCTACCTCCTGCTCTGGGTGGTCTTGTTCTCCTTCATCCTCTCCCACTGGGAGAAGTACAACACGGGCATTCTGTTCCTGCCCTGGGGATATGACATCAGCCAGGTGGTGAGTGCCCAGCCAGCCCCCCGGGAGCTGCCGGGGTGTGCCCGCCCGCCACGGGGTGCAAGGGAGGAGCAGAGCTCTGCTCGCCTCCAGAGCCTTGTCAGGCGTGGAATTTTCCCCCTGGAGGTGGACTCTCCGGGAAAAACGAGGTTTGAAGGGTGGGCATTGCCTCGTCTTTCCTCTCTCCCCGGTTCTCAGTGCGTGTTTTGGCCACCTGAAGTGTGGCTTTGTGGCACCGGTGTGGGTGAGTTTAAGGCTGGATGTTTGGGATGCCCTTTGGATGCCCTTTGGGCTGTTGGGACGGGTGCCAAAACCACAGTGGGAGTTAATTGGCTCGTTAATTGCTGTGCCTGGAGCAAAGGTTCCCCAGGGAAGTGCCCCCCCATACCCTGGTGCCTGGGCAGTGGGCGCTGAGACTGATGGTGAGGAACCCTCTGGGGTGTTGGGGTGTCCATCCCTCGTTAAGGAATTCTCTGCAGGAAGCTCTGTGTGAAGACAGCTGGGATGAGACAGGTCCCCTGTATTGCTGGCACTGCCTTCCACTGGCCCAGGTTGCTCCAGGCCCTGTCCAACCTGGCCTTGAACAATTCCAGGGATGGGGCAACCACATGTTCTCTTGACAACCTGTGCCAGTGTTTTACCACCCTCACTGTAAAAAAGCCTCTTATATCTGATTACACCTGTTTTATTTATCTTCTGGCTCATCAGGTGCTGGGTGGGAAGTGCAACAAGCTGGAAGGAGAGTTCAGTGAATGCAGCTGCACTATAAAAATTATAATAATCATCTCTCCTGGTAAAGGACTCGGGAGCTGAACCCCAGATAACTCTGAGCCCTTTCTCCACAAGTGTTGCTTAACCCCACTGCTTTCAGCTCGTGCCCCTTGCAGAAGGGCAGGGCTGGAGGGCTGAGCTGCCCTGCAGCGTGTTCCACCAGTTCAGGGGGGCTGGTAAAGCTGAAATATTCCCTGTGAGCCTTTGCCCTGTAATCCAGCAGCAGATGGATAAGAAACTGTCCCTGAGTGAACTTGTGGTGTAAAACCTGTCACTGTACTCGGGACATCTCATGAGTTCCAGCTGAGCAGGGGCATCCTGGCTTCTGGTCCTGCCCTTCTCCAGGAATCACTGAGCTTGGAAAAACCCTCTGAGGCCATCGAGTCCAACCATGCACCAGCACTGCCCAGGACACCACTGAGCCATGTCCCCAAGTGCCACATCCACAGGGATTCTAAATTCTGTCAGGGATGAGACTCCACCACCTCCCTGGGCAGCTGTGCCAGGGCTGGACAGCCCTTTCCATCAAGGAATTGTCCCAATATCCCACCTGAGCCTTCCCTGGCACAGCTGGAGGCCATTCCCTCTCCTCCTGTCCCTTGTTCCCTGGGAGCAGAGCCCGACCCCCCCCAGCTCCCCCCTCCTGTCAGGGAATTCCAGAGCCAGAAGGTCCCCCCTGAGCCTCCTTTGCTCCAGGCTGAGCCCCCCCAGCTCCCTCAGATATTCCTGCTGCTCCAGCCCCTTCCCAGCTCCCTTCCCTTCCCTGCACATACTCCAGCCCCTCCATGTGTGTCTTGTGTGAGGGGCCCAGAGCTGCCCCAGCACTGGAGGTGCCCCAGCAGTGCCAGCACAGGGATGGCACTCTCTGATCCAATCCCAGCTCACTCTGATTACACCTCCTGCCGCGGGGGGGTTGTGGGTTTGATTTATTTTCCTCCTTCCTGGGGTGGGTAGGGCTGAACACGCCTTAGCAGAGCTGCCAGGTGGTGCCAGCCCAGGTACTCCCAGCTCACACAGTCCCAGCTCACACACTCTGAGCTCACACTCTCCCAGCTCACACACTC